CTTGTTAAAAAAAAAAAAAAAAAAAAAAAAACCGGCTCTCGAGCTAAAAAAGAAAGAACATGATAAATATTTTATCAGACATAATCTTCAAAAATAACGTAATTTGGTAAAAATAAAAATCGTGAGAAAACAAATAAATTGTAAATATACGTAATTCTCTTTCTTTTTTTTTTTTTTTTCTGTTTACACACACACATGACATGACAGTGATGACACAACCGAAATAAATATTTGGTTACGACATCAAATATCAAATCCTCGTGTTTGTTTGTCGTCCCAATAAATGGTTATATGGACGGCAACAAAAACAGCATCCAAAACAAGTAAATTTCACTGACCAATTTTCTTCTCCATTTCCTGGAAACAAAATCCTCAATTACATATTGCCAAAACATGTCGTAAGACTTTTTATAAAATAAAATGGGTCAGACAAATCGCGTCTATCAAATAAAATCAAACGACCTTTTTATCTTTTCGCCAAACAATGTCCATTTGTTTGACTTTATTTCACTCAAAGACAAGACCAAAGCCCCCCTCGTGCCTCTCATTAACAACAACCCCGTTCTCATTTCTTCACCTCGCCTTCTCTGTTCACATCTCTCTCTCTCTCTCTCTCCCTCAAGGTTTCTATAATTCATCTTATCCTCTGCTTACAACCCATTCCTTGCTCAAGCAGCTGTACAAGAAAGCTCAAGAATCAAGAATCAAGAATCAAGAATCAAGAAACGGAGATAACGAGCTTCTTCTTAGCTTAATGGGTTCTTGCTTCAGTTCTTGTGTCAAAGCCGATAATCTTTTCCACAATGGTACCATCTCTGTAACTATTAACTCTCTCTGATGCTCCAGGTTTGAGTTTGGTTAACATTATGCTTGTGTCTGTGCAGGTAAGAGCAGCGATCTTTACGGTTTAAGCATATCTAGCCGAAAATCTTCGTCCACGGTGGCTGCAGCTCAGAAGACGGAAGGGGAGATTCTTGAGTCGACTCCAGTCAAGAGCTTCACCTTCAACGAGCTCAAACTCGCCACAAGAAACTTCAGACCAGACAGTGTGATCGGTGAAGGTGGGTTCGGTTGTGTCTTTAAAGGGTGGTTAGATGAAACCAATCTCACTCCGACAAGACCCGGAACCGGTTTAGTCATAGCCGTTAAAAAGCTTAACCAAGAAGGCTTTCAAGGTCACCGTGAATGGCTGGTACAGTAGTATTCATGTCCCTCAAACTTTCAGAGTTATGTGTGTGTGTGTGATTGTGTCTGAGTTCTTGTGTTATGTTCTGTTCTGATGCAGACAGAGATTAACTACTTGGGACAGTTGAGTCACCCGAATCTAGTGAAACTGGTTGGTTATTGCTTGGAGGATGAACACCATCTTCTTGTATATGAGTTCATGCAAAAAGGAAGTCTTGAGAACCATCTATTCAGAAGTAAGTCCTATAGATTCTATCGATGAAACATCTTTGGTTAGTTTAGTAGCATAATAGTTTCTCTCCATTTATTCATTAGCCTTGTATGCTTATTTATACAAAATGCATAACTTATCTAGAAATTTATTTACATAATAGAATAGAAAATCTAATTTTATACATGAATAATAATAACTAAAAAAAAAAATTGTGTATTTGTACTGATGGAAGTGGTTTTGAAGCAGGAGGTACATATTTTAAGCCGCTCCCATGGTTTCTACGGGTCAAGGTTGCGCTTGATGCAGCAAAGGGGCTTGCGTTTCTTCATAGTGACCCTGTCAAAGTCATATATCGAGACATCAAGGCCTCCAACATTTTGCTTGACGCGGTAAGGCAGAGAACCACGTATTGAATCAATTAGATGGTCTCACTTTTTTACTGATGACTTTGGGTTCCATTGACAGGACTACAATGGGAAACTTTCTGACTTTGGGCTAGCTAGGGACGGTCCAACAGGTGATCGAAGCTATGTTAGTACAAGGGTTATGGGTACATATGGCTACGCTGCTCCCGAGTATATGTCCTCAGGTACAAAGTCGACCAAAGTTTAATCAAATTTATTACTAGTTTTTTAGGCTTCCAATCTGAAATCAATTGGTAGTAAATGGATTAGCTCAAGTCTTTTTTTTTTATATTTCCAATGTACGATCTTTTCTCCAACAATATTCTATGAGTGTATATGGTTTTAATTGTTTCATCTTCCTAATCTTGTACACTTTCAGGTCACTTAAATGCAAGAAGTGATGTGTACAGTTTTGGTGTTGTGCTTTTAGAGATTTTAACTGGTAAGCAAGCCTTGGACCATAACAGGCCGGCTAAAGAAGAGAAACTAGTGGAATGGACTAGACCGTACCTCACAAGCAAACGCAAGGTTCTCCAAGTCGTGGACCCTCGGCTAGACACGCAGTACCTACCCGAAGAGGCAGTGAGACTGGCCAGCATTGCTGTGCAGTGTCTCTCCATCGAACCCAAGTCACGTCCGACCATGGACCAAGTGGTCCGTGCCTTGCAACAACTTCAGGACAATTTAGGAAAACCTACTCAGCCTGATCTGGTTAAGGGTGCCAAGAAACAGGGTTCTAAAACCGGAGTGTAGTTACCAGAAACACGGTTTAAATAAAGACCTTTTAGCAAGCATTAACCTGGTTATTTCCGTGATGGACTGCTGGCCGGCCGGGTACTTGTTATTTCAATTGAATACGGTTATGGACAAAACCGTGAAGGTCGAGACTAATAACCTCAGAGAACATGTGGTTTAGCCTTTATACTTCCTCGTGTGCTGTGATATCGAGTGAAGTATATATGTGGTTACTTTTTCTTGTTGTGTTGCAACCACTTGTATTTTTGTTCCTCAAAACATTTGATGTAGAGATTTTTAGTATATTTCAAGTTTTGGAATCAACAGTTTTTCAATGATATAGGTCAGAACACTAGAGTTAATCATTGACGCAAATGCAAAACAAATTTACACAAATCCAGTTTCGAGTTTTCTTGGCACTACGTAAAGTTTGTATTGTAGATTGTTTTGGAGTGAAATTATACAAAAATAAATTTATATTAAACAAATGAAAACCTTATGAAATGAATGTACGAATGTAAAACCAAGGCACACTAGGTTTTTATTATGTTCTTAGTTCTTACCATCTTCTCGTTTATGTGAATACTGAGTTATAATCATGTGCGACGAGGAGGTGAAGCTTAAACTATGCTACGAATGGAGGACACATTGATAAGACATAACCATGTAAGACGCAACAGTTTTCTACTTAGACATAATCTTTGTCAGTTGTCACATCACTACCGAGTTACTAACGTTACTAAGCAAAAGAAAAAAGTTACCAACGTTCTGCTCTAGACACTGCTATCTCAAGTACTCCCTCAAGGGTCTCGTTCTCTTATGTTCCTATAATTTTGGATGCTACTTCTTCAGGTGGCTTTACAGCTATGTTACGTTGCCTATTGTCTGCGTAACTGCGTTTATAAGCTGCACATGAGTACTAGAGGACATAAATAGTATTAAAAACAACCTAAATTAACAGAATGCCATAGCGAAATTTCTCAAACCAAACTTTTTACTTATAACTCGATCAACCATCAAATGACCTTTTAGCATGACGATGCAGTAGTTGCAACAATTTCAGTTTGCAAGTTTTTACACTGATGTTCTCATAAGTTAAATCAAATCCTTTTAAAAAGATTAACATAAAACAATTTGCGATACTTTTCAAATTAATAGTTATAATTAGTTTTTTACGCATAGTAATGGTGAATCTCAAAATCCACTCAGAATTAAGATCTATACTATTAAAACATAATCCCTATTCGGATTCTGCCATTAGTTTTAAACTTATTTACAAATCATGCCACTCCTACATTTATGCATAAATCAGTTAATTATTTTTATCAGAAATATAAACCAATCGTATTGCATCATTTAATATCTTATACCATCTACATATATCATATATTCTCTCAAGATTTTGTTTAATATTTAATTATACTTCCCAATTTTCGTTATTAAAAATATATGTTTACTTTTAATAAGGTCATACTAACGTTTTGAAGATATAATTATATATTCATACCAGATTTGATCAAAATCGGGTTGCATGTTTGGTTTTACATTGGCTAACATGTTTTAAAAAGTTATTTATCTAACTATATTCAAACCTTTCGCATTTATTCTAATACTCACATTTTCTCAAAACATATAAAAATAACTCATAATTATATCAATCAATAAATATATATATATATATATATAACCAATATATAAATTATTTTATAAATTATAAAGTAATATATGTAATTATACTTAAAATAGAAAATAACACATATTCAGTGATTCAGAAGAATTTATAACTAACTTGGTCTAATTGAGTTAAACCAAGTGTCTCAATTTAAACGAGTTATAACTAATGGTATGACTTCTAAATAAGATGAGTTTAAATAGAACAGATTTCTTAATTATTTTAACATCCATAACAATATGTTTAGTGTGTTTTAACTAAATTTTTTACAATGGAAAATATCCCGCACTTTTAAAGTGCGGGTCAAAATCTAGTTACGCTTTTAAAGCGAATGTTTATCAACGATTTTAGTATAAAAAACATATATTATTAATTTCTATATAACTACAAAAAATATGGGGTATAGGAATACAAATTAAATCGAAAGTAAATTGGGCATAATTATATTGTTTGGAAATAAGATCCCTTTCTCATTCTTCTTTTGGTCGTTCTTGTATAGTTTTGTTTGAATCGTAACGGGAACTTAATCTCCGGAGAAGATCAGTTGCTTTAAAGACTGTTTTAATGTTGTGATCATCTTTAAATTTTGGTTTAATTATGTTAGTTCCATATCAACTCTTCTCCAACTTTTAGATTGCTTTTTTTCAGGGAAAATTGCCAAAAAGGGATGAAATACCTATACTCTTGTCCTCTTAGAATTTAATTCAGAATTCTTGTTCCTATAGTATAAACTATAATGAATATCCCCTTTTGTCATTTTCTTTTCCATTTTGTTATTAATTTAATTTATAAATAAATGTAAAAACATTTTTAAGTAAAAAAATACAAATTAACAAAATAAGTAATAAAAAAGTAACCCTCCGATAACAAAAGAAAAGCAGTTAATCCCATAGCTCAAAAAGAAAAATAACCCTCAGCTCTCGCGACTCCTTTTCTCTCTCGGAGAAGAAAGAGGTGATTTGCTTCTCGCCGAGATTTTTTCATCGGAGAGCTCGAAATAGTCATCACATCTCTCCATCATCCTCCTTTCGTCTTTACTTTCGGCCGATTGTACTCATCTTTGTAAATCCCGGCGATCGATATCGAAGTTCCTTAACCTCCGAAGTGGCTTCTTCTCTCAGAAATCGCACGATTTGCTTCTCATTGTCCCTCTTTTGCTCTTCCTTCATCACTGTTCCCAAAATTCGAAGGTTAGGGTTTTGAAATTTCCTTTATGGATCTTGTTTTTTTTTGGTTTTTGTTTATGTGCATGTCGTAGAAATATATGGAATTGCTTAAAAATTTTGGTTGTTTTGAAATCCCCTCTATCTGATTTTTGTTTCTCTGTTTCAAGGATTTGGTTGTTGAGTTGATTATGAGTTATATTTAGTTTGATATTGTATTGTATTATGGTTTGAATTCGAAATAGACTTAAAAGGCTAATGATTTTGACATGTAAAACCGGTCCATTTTACATGTTGTCTGGGATCGAACCAGGAACAAAACATTGGTTGTTGAGTTGATTTTGACTTATATTTTGTCCCTTATCGGTTTAGTATTACGTTTTGATTTCGTAATAGACTTGAAAAGGCTAATGAGTTTGATATGTTTATACTTTTTGATTCTTCTGTTTGCAATTACATAAGTAAAGTATAACATTTTACTTATGTTTTGACACTTGTAGGAATGGCTTACCAGTTTCCAAAGCGGATTTGTGAAGAAGGAGCTGAGCTCCGAATTGATAAGATCAACAATACATGTAGACGTACGATGCTTGCATTGTTGAAGGATTTCCATAAGGATGAGTATGAAGAAGTTTTGAAAGACCATGTCTTCGGTCCGATTCTGGCAATTGTAGACAACAAACTCATTTACTCAGGGAAGATCATTCACAGCTTTATATGCAAGCAGCTCAAGGTTTCCAAGCTTCACGAGTTGTGGTTTGAGTTTGCAAACATGCCGCTAAGGTTCTCCATGCAAGAATTTCATGCTGTCACTGGGTTGAAGTTCAAAGAAGAACCAGACATAGACTTCAATAATTGGGAGGATGATAAGGGTTTCTGGAGCAAAGCGCTGAAGCAAAGTAGCAATATCAACATATACATGATAAGGGACGAGCTACTTAAGGTGTGTAACCAGTGGTCATATGTGGACAGCGTGAGGTTAGTGTATATGTGCCTTATACATGGGTCATCGTGGCTAAGGATCCGAAAGTGTATATCCCTCAAGAATACATCCGTTTGGTGATGGATTTTGAGAAAATGAGAATGTTTCCGTGGGGTCTTCGCGCTTATGACGAGCTGCTTGCTTCCATATTAAAGGCAAGAACCGATTTGCATCTGAAGAACAGCTACGTTTTGGATGGATTCTCATATGCGTTTCAGATATAGATCATGGAGGCAGTCCCAGACATTGGTACTATGGTGGCTAAGAAGTTTAAAAAAAACATTGTCAAGGTGAGGTATAAAAATTGGGCAGAAAGTGGAAAAGTATCTTATCAAGATATCATCAGCCTAGAATCCCACTTTGACAAGGTAATTATCTTGCTACTATTAATATTGAGATCAAAATTGTCTTTGTGGTGTTGATTGTTTTGTTTTTTCATGGCAGGGAGAGTTGTTTCCATTTATATCATCAAGTGGGAAGTCGGGTGTGATTGATGATTCTGAGTTCAAAAGAGAAGATGAGAAGAAGGACGAAAGAGTTGATATGATTGTTGATATGATCAAAGCCAATCATGACTGGAGGGAATTCGTTTGGAAAGTTGAGTCTCTGCCAACAAACAATCTCTTTTCTGACGAAGAAGAAGACGATGTTGAAGATGAAGATGTCACGAAGCCGCCTATTGTTGCAGAGAAGTCGACAGCTGCTGTCAAGAGCGCGAAGCGTAAGCGCCATGATCCTGGTGTCGAGTCTCGGAAGAGAGAACTCCTATGTCAACGAGCAGCTGAACATAACAGTGGTGTCTCTGGTGAAATGAAGACCTTTATTCAGGGGTTGTTCACCTCTTTTAAGGACATGGTCTGGAAGGAGATGCAAGAGAGTTTTGATAAGGTCGATACTGAGGTGGCTAATATCAAAGAAACAATGTCTCAGTTTATGGCTACTTCAGATGACACCTTCATGACCAATTGGAAAAGATCAAGACAACTCTTCACAGAGTCCGGGTCCTTCATCAACACTAATGCAAGATCAAGCTAAGTCATCACAGACTCCACGTCCTTCAGCAGCAAAAGGAAGAGCCTATGTGAGTGTGGATCCAATTGCGGTTCGTCATAGTCCTCGGACAGTGAGAAAGGTAACAACAACATGAAGTTTTGTGAGATTATGTGTGGGTTGAGTATTCTAAGTACTTTTGACAAGGTCGCTATCTTTTGTTGTAAGTTTTTGTGTCGTTTGTAATGTACTTGGTAGGTTATCGGCTTGTAAGTTTGTGTGTGGTTTGTAATATATTTGGATTGTAGCTTATCGCAAACTTATGTATTATAAGAATGTTCACTTTTTTTTAGTATTAATGCTATGGTTGGTTGTATTAACAGGATGACAATGAAATGTTGGAGTTTTTGAAGAATCTAACAAAAACCAAGAAACATGTAGACAAGAGGAAAGGGACCCAAGAGTCTTTACAAAATGCCATGGGAGATCTTTCTCAAGCATCACATGTTAAAGGTTTCGATCCCTCACAAAGTCTCAATGACGACGAACAACTGGAATGGGTTACTCCATTATCTACGTTCAAGCCTACGAACTGGATACCACCTAGTCTTAAAGATATGGAACTCCCTGAGGACCGCATGAATGACACTGATTACAATCTAGTGTTTGTTGCTGAGGATCAATGGGCCAAAGTGACTGAGTGGTTCACAACTTCCTGGTTAGTTTATATTGTTTTTTAGTGTTAAAAAAATTTGATCCTTGTGTAACTGAAGCTTGCATTCCAGGGTACTGAAGCTTGGACCTAGTATGTTCACAAGTGAGTTAGCAAAACGTGTCATAGGACCTACAGAGGGGCTCTTCAATAAAGTGAGTTTCTAATTTGTTGCTTCTTAGTTTCTTTACATCTGTTTTCAATCCTTTTTCTATTTTTTTTCAGGAAATTGATGCTATGATGTATGTATTCAGTGAGAAGACTTCTTTGCGATGATGGCGTCCAAAGAGAGTCGCGTTCATGACATGCTTGTTTAGTAATCAAATGAAAAACTCTTTCGAAGAGTTCAATAAGAACGGAAGGAAGTTCAAAGGTGGAGGAATTATACACGAGTATGGCATTGGGGAGCTTCCAGCACACGGAAGGACAAGACTAATGTGGGATCTTGATGTTGACCGCATGTATGTCCCCACGAATGTTGGTAAACATTGGATCGCTTTGTGCGTCGATTTTGTCACTCGTTCCATAGAGGTGTTTGACTGTGAGGGAATGAAACATCCAAGAGCGGTGGAGCCATTTGCTGTTCTCATCCCTAGAATTGTCAAAGCTGTTCAGTCTTCAAGCAGTCGGACACACACGGTCAAGAAGTATACTGTCACATACGCTCCAATGCCCTTTGTTCTAAATCGTAGTGCCACTGACTGTGGAGTATATGCCTTGAAGCACATAGAATGCCATCTTCTAGGCATGGATATCTCTTTGGTGAATGATGACAACATTCGTGAGGCACGGTTAAAGATTGCTTATGATCTATGGGAAGCTGCTACTGATCCTGAGCTTATTGCGAGAATGTCACAATTCACTCCTCCAAAGACTATTTCAAATCCTCCTGTGGAGCTTGATTGAAATGATAAAACTCGTGTAGGAAGAATGTTGTCATTTGCATGTTATTGTTAGAATATTTGAAGTATTTATTATTTAACCTCTATCTATACCCTAAATGATAGTAAAGATACACATAAACTAACCTCTATCTATACCCTAAATGATAGTAAAATTAGACAAATGTTTAATTTAAAATTTATACCATGCCAAATGTTTAAATGTTTTTCTATTTAGAATCAAATTAAAATATAAATCCAAACAAATGTTTATTATAATTGTACTAAGATATGATATAACCCCTATCTAAACCCCATCTATACCCTAAATGATAGTAAAATTAGACAAATGTTTAATTTAAAATTTATACCAAATCAAATGTTTAAATGTTTTTCTATTTAGAATTAAATTAAAATATAAATCCAAACAAATGTTTATTATAATTGTACTAAATTATAGAACCCCTATCTAAACCCTATCTATACCCTAAATGATAGTAAAATTAGACAGAAACTAACCCCTATCTATAACCTAAAAACCTAATCCGAGTAAAAGCTGTGTTTGCCCTAAACAAAATCTTATATAACCCCCCCTTTAACATGGACACAAACACTATAGGCGCTCAAAACCTAAAGCATAAGAATTCAATTGATGTAGGTTGTGTATGATCCATTCTCAGTGTTTTTTTCACTGTTTGAAACCTAAATGATATTGTATTGCTCTCTGATTCAAGTTACACTGTCAACGATTGATGAACCCTATGATTTGGATTGTCAATTTTCGTAGAAAATCCCTAAAAAAATATTGAAAATAGTTTTCTAAACCGGTGATCAATACCAGAGCTTCGAATTAAAAACAAAAATACTTGCATACCCGGAGGCTCGAACCCAAGTTTAGAGGAGAAAGTAGAGGTAGTTTACCAGTAGAGTCATTGTCATTCATTGTTAATGCTCTCATACTATAAATATATATCGGCTTTGTGATTAATAAAAAATACAAAATGTGCATACCCAGAGGCTCGAACCCAGGTTTAGAGGGAGAAAGTAGAGGTAGTTTATCAGTAGAGTCATTGTCATTCATTGTTAATGCTATCATACTATAAATATATATCGGCTTTGTGATTAATAAAAAATTACAATATGTGCATACCCGAAGGCTTGAACCCAAATACAGATCGTAGACTCGGTGATACTCCTCCACTAAGCTAGATTAACACATTGAAATGCTTATTGAAAGAACAAAATATATTTAAACGAATCTTTACTCAATTGCCAAGTGTCGCTTTATGGAAGATTGTGAGTCCCCCACCCTTTCGTCTTCTTCAATACGAGGGAAACCATCGGTTTCTCTGATTCTAGAAACAAAGCAGTTCTCTTGCATCTACCCTAGACCACGATGTTCGTCCCTCAAGTGCCATTCCTCACCTATGAAGAACGACTACGGAGAGGTCGTGATCTTTTCTCGAGAAACATTCCAGTCATCGGGGGTTACCATCGCCGGCATATCGATGATGAAACTGCTAGAAGCTATGATCTCCTGAGAGTTCGTGGCTTTGTAATCCAAGGTACTCTAGACCCTACTGATCCCTCTTTAGGTGAGGCTTTTGCCATTATAGACGGAATCGGCTGGTCCTACACAGTTATGCATGTCCATAGGTTTTGCCCTAGAGGACATTTATTCAACTTCTCGCCAACACTAATCAACCGTTTACTGATGACGCCAGAGGTTCCTCACACATACCGTTGGAATCAAGTAACTTTGAAGGAAGCTATCATATTTCTAACCGGAGGTAGTTGTTCTGCGTGGAGAGGCTTCAAAATAACTGATTTGATCAACCCCTTTCAGAATTTGTACCGCATTTGTGAGCGGAATTGGCTACCAGGACCGGATTCAGACGGAATGATTAAAGACCGGCTCAAGCTTTTGCACGCTATTGCCAACTGCATTCCAGTCAACTTTGGCCATCTTGTGTATGACCAGGTGATTGAGATGGTACGTTTAACAGATTCTGATACAAGACTCATCTTCCCCAACCTCATTTCTAGCTCCTAACACTACAGCATGAGGTCCCTAATTTGCTAGGAGATGAAGGAGTTATCGGAAGTGGTGTTCCTATCGGAAGCGCTTTTCAAATCTGTTCATGCTCTCATCATCCCATGGAACCAACAGAGGTGTAAAAGTTAGTATTAGTAATGTAAAATATGTTGGGTATGAATATCTTTTGGTGTTTTTATCGGATAGAAAGCATTTAGCTTTGTTTTGTAAGCACAACGACTTAACGTATGTTTTGTAAGCACAACGACTTAACGAATGTTTTGTAAGCACAACGACTTAAGCTTTGGCATTAATACTAGGGAGTCAAGTTTTAACTCTCTCATCCATGAGGTTACTAGTTTCCTCGGGGTTTTTTTTTTTTTAATTTTTTGTTCAGTTCTGTTGTTCGGTAAATGTCTTGCTCTCTCTCTTTGCTTCTAGCATGTCAATAAATGTTAAGACTGAAGCAGATGAGAGAAGAAGATGAGAACTCACTCTCATGGTGAATCATTGTGTTAGTGTGATATATATACTGATATGCATCTCTCTACGTGTTAACAAATGTTCTTTATTTTCTTTGTGATTAATAAAAAAAAATACTTGCATACCCGGAGGCTTGAACCCAGGTTTTAGAGGGAGAAAGTAGAGGTAGTTTACCAGCAGAGTCATCGTCATTCATTGTTAATGCTCTCATACTATAAATATATATTGGCTTTGTGATTAAAAAGAAAATACAAAAGTTGCATACCCGGAGGCTCGAACCGAGGTTTAGAGGGAGAAAGTAGAGGTAGTTTACCAGCAGAGTCATTGTCAATCATTGTTTATTCTCTCATACTATAAATATAGATACGAGTTGTGTTAGTTTTTAAAATACAAAACATCGACGAGAAGATAAACAAAAGAACTACTCTTACACGAACAAAACACATAGTCTTCTAAACAAGCATAAACGAGACAAAACGAAACACATAGTCTTCAAAACAAAAGTTGCATAAACGAGACAAAACGAAACACCTAGTCTTCAAAATAAAAGTTGCATAAAACGAGAAACCATGAACAAAACAAATAGTCTTTTAAACGCATTGAAACTCCTATATTGGTGTATCACATCTTCTTCTATTGTGTCCTTGAAGTCCACATCTACTGCATTTCCAAGCTTTAGAGCCTTGTGTTCCCTATGATGAACGGATCTTATCTTCAGCTGTCTCGTGTCGGCATTTCTTTTTCCTACCTGCACCTCGTCTACTCTTGGGAGAAAATACTTTTGACTGTTCCACATCAGGAGGAACAATCCATGCATCTTCAGGGACAGAAATAGGATTTATGCTTTCTGCGTAAGCCGAGTTCCATGTCGCCGTAGTGTACATGTCATCAGTGAGAGTGTGTGGTCTTTTTCCAACACTGAAGCCGGATTTTATGGCGTGTCTGCAAGGGATTTTCATCAGATCAAATTTCCCACAAGTACATGTGCGTCTGACCAAGTCAACCATGCAGTCAATAACATCACCCCGAACCAAAAACCTCTCATCGCTAACCGGGAAGACCTTAAACCTTTTACCTTTCTCAATCCGTCTATCAATCTTCTTCTCAACAGCAATGGTCAGTGGCTTGGAGTGCTTAGAACTTAGAGTTCTACGATTGAAAA